AAGAAGGGGATTTAAAATGAGGTGTATATAATGAAGAAAGTCATAATGTATACTATAGATATTGCCAAAGCAGTACTTAAATTGTATCATTAAATGAAATTATATTGTATGCCTTTAAGTGTTTAACTTTGTTTGTAAAATCTCTATATATAAAAGGATAAGTATCCATCCGTCCGACTGGTAGCTATGATGCGCAATGACCACCAGGGGTTAGATGCTCAACGCAGAAGCTGCCATGATGTGCACTGGCCATTTAAAAATAAATGGCACCACGGACCTGGCACCGACAAACCAACACTCGGCTTTCCCCAAGTGGGACCCAGGCCCCACCACCACCCTGGAGCGACACCCCGCCAAATCACAGCCAACGCTGCCAACACCCCATGGCCCAAAATGCAGCCCACAGCCCAGCCTAGAAACGGTGGCTGTGGCCGGGTAATGATGTCACAGAGCAATGCCCGGCTTCCTCTCCCTAGTGACTGGCAACCTTGGAGTTTCTTCAGCCCAGGAACATGACTTGCTTTATAGGCAGGTACAAACATTTTACAGTTGAACCAAATGTTTGTGTAGCATTTTTCTATGCTTCATCTCATTTGATCCTCACAGAAGTCCTGGAGTAGGTAGATAGGAGACTCGGTAGAATCCTATTTTCATTAGCAAGAAATGAATAGCGATATTAAAATATTTCTTCTAAGTAATTTCCTTTCAATGTGCACAAGTCCGTGCACCGGGACACTAATGTTTATATAAAGCTGCATATTTTGAATTTACTCTTTGCTTATCTACATATGTTCCTGTTATAAACATTAAGTTGCTTAAATACTGAGCATATTAGAATTATTTGCTGATACTTGACATAAGTTAGGACACAATTGAACATTCATGTCATCTTGACAGTCACAGTGTGACCTATGGTATAATATATTACATTTTCCGAAGCACTGGATGTTTTATATTTTTACCATGTTTTATCAACATGAAATTAGGATGTCTGAGGAAGTAGTTCACCCCCTCCTACAAGAAAGAGAACAAGGAAGCAAGGAAGCAAGGAAGGTACCCTCTGGAAGAGGAAGTCAAGGTTGCATTTAAACAAATGCAGAAAAAAGCCCTCCTATAGTTTCATTAGTTGATTTTTTAACCAGTTTTTTTTTTAGATATGATTTACATACATGATTCATCCATTTAAGTGGATAGCAATTTTAGTATATTCACAGGGTTGTGCATCTATTACCAAAATCTAATTTCAGAACATTTGCATCACCCCTGAAAGAAACCGTGTACCCACTGACAGTCATTCCCCACTCCCCTCTCAGCACTTGGCAACCAGTAGTCTACTTTCTGTCTGTGGGTTTGCCTATGCAGATATGAACCATAAAACATGTGGTCTTTCGGTGACTGTACCTACGCCAAACATACAGGCCTTGGTGGGGTGTTGCTCCAGGGCGGTGGCGGGGCCTGGGTCCCACTTGGGGGAAGCCAAGTGTTGGTTTGGCCTATTTCTTTTCAAGGTTCATGAGATGCAGTGTGTGCCAGTACGTCATTCTTCATTATTGCTGAATCATACTCCATTGTATGGATATACCACATGGATAATCCATATTTGTCCATTCATTGGTGGACGGACATTTGGTTTTCCTCTTTTTTGAGAATAATGCTATTATGAACATGTACACTTTTTTTTTTTAGTACAGTTTTCAGTTCTCTTGGGAGAAAGTACTAGATCATATGGCAGCTGAGTTTTAATGGTTTGAGGAACTGCCAAACTGTTCAAAAGTGTTTACAACATTTTACATTTCTACCAGCAATGTATGAGGGCTCCGATTTCTCCACATGTTTGTCAGCACTTGTTATTGTCTGTGTTTTATATTTTAGCCATGCTACTGGGTATGAAGTGGTATCTCATTGTGGTTTTAATTTGTATATCCCTAATGAGAAATGATGTGCATATTTTCATGTGCTTATTGGTGATTTGTATGTCTTGGAGAAATGCTTTTAATTCCTTTGTTCACTTAAAATTAGATTTTATTATTGAGTTGTAAGATTTGTTCTGCATACAAGTCTCATCAGATATAATTTGCAAATGTTTTCTACCATTCTGTAGTTTTGTCTTTTTACTTTCTTGATGGTATCATTTGCAACACAAAACTTTTAGATTTTGATGAAGTCTTATCTGTTTTTTTCTTTTGTTGCAAAACATTGGCTTTTGAACTGCTTCTTAACATCCTTAAGAACCACTGAAGTGAGGGACCAAGGCACCCAGTGGACAGGGCTGCCTACAGCCCTTTCCCGCTCCCACACTTGTTTCCATTCCAGCAGATTTGGCCTGTAGGTTTGGCGTAGGCAGAGTAGCATGATGGGGAAAGCTGAGGCTTCGGAGGCAGGTTTCCCAAAATGGCACCTGCGATCGTTTCAACTGCTGATACCATACTTGGTTAAGTATGGAGTAACTCCTGGATAAAGCAGCTCATGAATTTTATGCAATGTTTTTTATCAAGACATAGATTCAATATCAGGTGTATTATGATGGAAATGTAGATGATGAAGGGCAGGTAAAGCAATGGAGGATGGTGATTTTTTCTCCTTTTTGATAGAACAGCAGATGGACAAAATTTGTAGGGACAATTAATTAATCTATTTTTAAATTTAAATTTCCCCCCATTGACCGATCCCACCCCCCAGGACACACACCCCCCTTACTGTCTGTGTCCATTGGTTATACTTATATGCATGCATATAAGTCATTTGGTTGATCTCTTACCCCCTCCACCCCCGCCACCCTCCCCTGCCTTCCCTCTGAGGTTTGATGGTCTGTTGGATGCTTCTTTGTCTCTGGGTCTATTTTTGTTCATCAGTTTATGTCGTTCATTATACCTCCATATGAGTGAGATCAAGTGATATTTATCTTTCTCTGACTGGCTTATTTTCCTAAGCATA